TGTTTCTATCAATTCGCGTGTTTTCTACTTTTTCTCTTAATTTTCAAGCCCAAGAAAAAGACATGAAGCACGCAATGTCCTATCAATGGCATGAACAAATTATTGTATATTCCAGATTTGGTAGTATATGTACGTAGAAAAAGAATACAAATTCGAATTAGAAATTTAAAATTTTATTAAAAATTAGAATTTTAAAAGGATAAAATAAAATAAAATTTTATATTTGTACTTGCGACAAAATTCTGTAGCTTTTTTATGATGTAATTGTTTATTTCTTCTTATGTCATTTTTGAGCAGAAATCTACGTGCGAGATACGAATTTTATGATTATCTACACGTGATTATGATTATCTTCACATGATTTAAAAATGCATTTGATCCACTCATTTAATCCCACCTATGTAAAGTTTGTTTTATATTTCCATATCTTTTTATTGCGTAATTTTGTTACGAAATGTTGACGTTATCGCACCACAATCTTGCAAGATATTAAATATAATAGCAAAATGCGTTTTTGTAAAATACAAAGAATGATTATTAAAAAAATAACAAAAGAAACAAAAACTTTTCCGAAAAATCAAGATGCAAAACTAAATTTAATTTGCATTCGTTTGTATTTAAATTTATTTAATTTATAACTTTTGTTATATATTTTAATAGCTGTAAGATTGGAATGATTTTTCTAAATATTTCTCAAGAACATCGGAAGAATTACCTCGGTGAAATTTGGTGTGGATTCTCGCAATTGGAAATCTTTCCTCCTCGTGCTTTCCATTTCTAACGATCGTGATGTGACGGGAGACTAATCGTTACGACGTTCCATGAACCAAGAAAACCGATTTCTATTCTTGCGGTGCGTTTCTCGTCATCGATACGAGCGACATTCTCTTAGCTTTTCATGCTGATTTTATGATCTTCCTCTCATCGGAAGATCATAAAATTCACAAAAAAAAAAGATACTCTTTGTGAAAATCGCCTTTTTCAGTTTTGTTGTCAATTATCTAAAGTCTTATAAAAGTAATTATTTTATACGCTTTAATTTTACATGGTTATCTTTATAAGCTCGACACACACACATATTTTTTAGCAAATTCGGATTTGTGCGTTAAGAAGCTATTTTTCTCTGAACAAAAATGACAAATATATAATTTACATGTTTATATACATAATTATATATATTTGCATCCGCATTGTGGGACAGTGGCTATTCAATTATAAGTAGTTAGAAGTGGTGGCAAGAGGTGAAGAGTCATTAACGATCAGGCACGTGTCAAACCGCAAATCAAGTTGATCAGACTCGTTTCTCCACACTTGCTCGGAACATGCACGCGTGCATTTACGCGCATGAATAAAGTTCACCTGCCAACAGGTATACTATATGGATGCCGTCAAGCAGGTTCGTTTAGGGCCACATGACGATCGTCAATTGTGTAGTCATTCAATCGGTGAGCAACCCGTGTAATACGATATTAAAAGGATTAAAATGCAGTATTATGAAAGATAAATTGCGATGTTTAACACACACACACACACACACACACACACACACACACACACACACACACACACACACACACACACACACACACACACACACACACACACACACATTACGATATAATTATGTGATATATTTATATCAATTTGCTATATTTTTTCATTTATAGAAAATTAACATTAAATTGATTGAGCTGAAACATTAATTTGTATTTTTGTTCCCTGTTTTAAATTCTGATATGTAAGCAGTCATATTTTCTAAATAAAAGTCTCGAAAATTTTTTATTACAAACAATTAAAGTGCGTTACCGCAAGTATAAATATTGAACATTGCATTTCCGAAGAGCAAATGCAACAATCATATCTTCGAATATTAAAGATCAATTATTGTTAATTATTATACTTTTCTTTAATATGATATATTCGATATTGTGTTTTGTACAGTCACTCATTCAATAATGAGAGTTCTATTAAACGTTATTAAAGAGAATAATTAAACGCATTTATATATAGATACGAAAAAATCAACAACATAATAATAAGAAAAGAAATTAGAAATTCTCGATGGATTACATTGTTTTTTAAAGATTTTAATTTTGTGTATTTTTTGTTTTTTAATAATTTGAAAATTTTATATTTATTTTTATTAATTCAAAAACAGCATCCTTAAAAAAGATACTTCGTTTGATTTACTAAATGGATCAGAATTTAAACCTAAATAGATCAAAAATCATCAAAATGTAGGTTAAGAATCTCTCTCTTTTTTTTTTATCCCTCCCTCTCAAAATTTTATCGAAGTTTTTTAAGAGGAGATGCGTCATAACTCTTTGATCTCTTTCTTCTGATGTTTATTGTGATCTAGCAAGGCAATTGTCTGATTTTATTATAATTTTACTATTACACCATTACGGTATATTGAACAGATTTTAATTTTTCTCAAAAAAAGTTCATCAAGAAAAGAAAACATCTATTTGTCAACGATACTTAACTTCATTCTCGCATTCGTATGAAAACTTACTACTCTTGATATTCTTTAGCTGACAAACAGATTGCAATTTCGCATGAAATATGATAAGAAATACTCAATCTAGTTAATACCAAAAGGTGATATCGAATCGATATGATTCGTAAGATATATTCTCGTACTACTGCTTTGTTTTCTCTTTCTCTTTTCCTTTGAGAATCTAGGAAACGCATGAGTCATGCTCTTGAGATACATCTCCGAGACCAAGGCATTGTCTTCGAAACGTTTGAACATAATTCCCTTGATAAGAGAGATTTGTATAAAAGTGATCAATGTTGAAAGAGCTTGCATTCTTAATAAAAAAATAATAAAAAAGAACTCTAATGTTCCATAAAATAATATGTTAAGCTATTTTGAAAAATTATAGATTATATTTTCTATCGTTATAGAAAAATTTATTAAAATCTCAATATTCATTCTTGACTGTTTTAGAATAAGATATTTTTTTAAAAATTTAAATTTGAATATCAAAAATATCTTATCACATTTTGCAGCTTTGTTTCGTACGGCATTTCAAGTGATATCATAATAGTTTACAATATCTTTTTAGACAAGTTTTAATATTCTAAACTGATAAATAAATACTGTAATAAATAATATGGGAAAGTATCCTGTATGATTAATCGCAGATTTTCCTAGTTCATTTTGTGTTCCAAAAAAGTAGTGTCTGTCTTCCGGAGAACTTGGATAAATTTTATTTTTTCCGTTCAAACTCTTAAAAGATAATTGGAACTTTCCTCACCTTGATAAAACAATTTCGAAGAGATGAAAATGCCAGTATCGGTAGCTTAGGCGTATCAACTGTGATAGTCCGACTTCGTCCCATCTCGTATTTTTAAGCCTCAGCCCGATCGTCGGTTTCTCAAGATGTTCACTGCGTTTTTCAGACGCGTGTAAGTAGAATGGGGACCGTCGAGTGCGGTTTGAACGTTGATAAGTGTTATTGTCCCGGCTCCATCTGCGGTTCGGTCTGGGTATCAGCTTCCGGAATACTTAGTCAGATTTGTGTCCTGTCCCGTCGCTGACACAGTTTCTTACCCAGTTACGGCTGCCAAAGACGCAACACCGGCAGATCCGGTGTGATTCCTGTTTACGCGCGATTTTAAGCCACGATGCGCATTAGTTAACAATATACGTTTCCAGCACACATTTTACATCGCAAAAACGAAATTCGAATTGTACACAATTGAGAAAAATGTTCGAAATGATTGAAATTAATTGCAATTCTGGTTGAAAATGGACAAATGAGAATTTTCTGCTTAAATCTATTAAAATTTTAGTGGAGATAATCGGAACTCTGACATCGATATAATCAGAATCTTCTGGTTTGTCTACTTTTAACCAGACACTTTTCTCAGTGTATCGTAAGTACACGCCAGCGATAAATAGATGCAACTTGAAACGTGGTTTCTTTCATCGTTGCATGTTTTTTCGTAACTTGAAAAATTGCAATGCATTAATTTATACTGTTATATATGTATATGTTCATAATATATATAGGTATAGTTGTATAGATTATTCTGTACAAGATCATAGATAAGAAGAAAAGCTTGCAATTCTTCGGAATCGTAACGATGACTGCACTTCCGACTTTATGTCTATTGCGTGGTAACGTTTTTTCCGGGATCTTTAATTATAAATATAAATTGATGCGAACATCACTTAAAGGAAGAGAAGATAGAGAAAGCGAAACAGAGATAAATGATGAATTAACGTCATTGTAATCAATTATACAAACCGCAGTATAAATTTATTTAGAGAAAATTGTAGTTTTATGATAATTTCGCATATACCACGCGTGCTTTCTCTTCTCCTTCTCTTTTCCGCTTGAATTTATAAATTCTCTTTCGTTATATACGAAGCGTCTCGGTTCCTGTTTCGTCAGCAGATTTGTGGTCCAGAGAAGTCGCGCACGCGTGGGTTTTTCCGATCTTCCTGAAATCTTTGTCCGAAGAACGAGTGAGAAATCATAAAACTCGTTACTTCGGCGATTCAAACATTTCGTTTTTAACCGAATATTTCAACGAAAGTGAATTGATATATATATATATATATATATTAATTTTATTATAGTATTAATTAGTAAATTTTATTTTTATGCGTCTTCTATTATT